GGAGTCAATAGAGGCGTTTAAGTGTGAAAACAATTAATTTTTCTAGGTGGAGCGTCTCATGCATCGATGCATGATCAAGGATGCATCGGTGCATTCGTGTAAAATTCAAATATTTTGACCGTTGGAACACTTGATGCATCGGTGCACCAAGTGTGCATCGATGCATGAAATGCATTCGATGTTTGAAAAATAGCCTGGTGCATCGATGCATGGCTTGTGCATCGATGCATCAAATGCATTCGATGTTTTGAAAATATTCAGAGTGCATCGATGCATGGAGAGTGCATCGGTGCATGGAATGCATTCGATGTTCAATTAATTCATCGATGCATCGATGCATGGACTGATGCATCGGTGCATGCCTTTGAATAATTGATTTAAGGCTTGTTTTTAGTTCAAAATACTTTGTGAAAATTGTTTCAAAAATAGTTTAAGTACAAATCACAATTTTACACATTTAGTAAGGATTAAAATTGATCTTGAAAAACTTGGAGTAATAATTTGATATTCGGTTAATTGAATCGAATATAAATTTGTAAAATCATTTGTAAAATCTTAAAATTCATTTAACTTAATTTGTTATATAGAAATATCAAAAATGTTTTCAACAGCTTTGATTCGATTATAATCCTTCAATTGATCCGGAACGGGATCACGTTCTATATCTACATCATCATACTTAGGTCTATATTAGTATTATAACTAATATACTCTAATGGTTCACTCTTTAGACTAAGAGAAAAGGCAATTTCATCTTTTAATGAAGGTATGCATCGATGCACTACTGATGCATTGGTGCATAAAATGCAATCGATGTTAAATTATTACTGGGATGCATCGATGCACTACTTATGCATCGAAGCACGAATTGCATTCGATGTATTTATTTTAAAAGAGTGCATCGATGCACTTCTTGTGCATCGATACACCTTCAAACGATTTATGGGTTTTAACCTTGATGCATCGATGCACTATGAATGTGCATCGATGCACTCTGCCCAGAACCTCTTTTTGAACCCGAAAATTCATTCATTTTGGATTAAATCATTCATGTTTCATCCCCTTTTTCCTTCTTAACTCTAGTACACATACTTAAACCAATATATATACTCATTTATTTCATCTTAAACCTTAATATTTCTCTCATCTTTATTAACTTCAAGAATCATACCAGATTTTTAACATGTTTTAAATATAATTCTAACACTCCATATTCCTTAATTAGATTGATGACAAGTCAAATTCCTTCTCAAAATTCACTTACTAACTCTTTTCCAGAATTTCTTTAAAAACTCATTTTCTTTAATCTTTCATAACTTCTTTATCTTTTGATTTTAGAACAACTTAAGCTTTCCATAAGCTTAAGTATTACCTAATGATCAAAACTCACTCTTAAAATTAACAAATAATCAGCTAACAAGGAATATTACCTTTGCAAGCTTGGCTCTTCTCTCTCTCGTACATGAAGAAGAAGAAGAAGAAGATGATGAAGAGAATATCTCTTCATCATCTTCCCCTCTAACATATATATCCTTATCAAATATATTTTTAATTCATTTATTAGTCAAATGACCATTTTGCCCTCTACTTCATTTGATAATTACTAACAACTTTTAGGATTTATTTCCAGATAAATCATTGAACTAATCCATTCTTCTACTTTAATCACCAAATTTCTGAAACTTTACCATTTAGTCACTAACCCATAGTTTGGTATGTTACATCAGCACCATCCGCACTAGGCTCACGAAGCGGTTCTTCTGGTGGAGATGATGGTTCCTCCATGCTCTCCACATTTAGGTCGAAGAACCTACTACTTGCACGCCTTCCCCTTGAACTGGAAGGCATATCGACATTGAGATTGAAAAAGCTAGCAGTCGAATGCCTCCCCCTGGAGCTTGAAGCCATCGTGTCAAATGGAAACTGCACAGATGGTTGCGTCGATGGCATCTCCATATGGTCAAAGAAATTTGCAGATGAATGCCTTTCCCTTGAACTGGACGCGGTGTTGCCATACAGATTGTTAGTGGATCCAGCTCGGTACATATCGTAAGGAGTTACGGATGAATGTCTCCTCATTATGGTATTAAAATTATTACACATTACTGTAGTCGGGCTGTCAACTTGATCAACTTGTTCAGCCAACCCATAGCGGGAGCTTAAAGATTGACCCCGAACAGCACGCACTTAAACAAAATGTGCATACATTACTGTAGTCGGGTGTATAAGTTAATGGCAACAATGATGTTGGAAATATGTACTGCAACGACGACATTATTCTACTACTTCCAACATGAATCTTCATCGAAATCTTCGTTATCAGCTCCTCAAGAGTTATGTTTCTCTTGAATGATATTTTAACACGCTCATTTGATACGAAAACAACGTCGGTTTCATCTTCTTGAATTTCACCATCATAATAAACAATATCTGAAAGTCGTGTCATTCTTTGAGTTTAAAAGTACGTCAATATTATATCTGCAAAAAAAAAAAACTGAAACAAACCTGATTAAATAAATTATATATGAACAAAAATATAACACAATAAATTTTTTACACATCAACGTAAATAATTTAAATAATATAATTTTATATTATTACCTGTACCATAAAACTATTTTGACGTATGCTCTTGCTTTTCAATTTTATAAACAGTAAAATTAATTGAAAATAATTAGTATAATATTTTTTTTCAAATAATCATAATAAACAATAAGTATAATAAAAAAATTATAACAAAATTTATAACGAAAAATCGCACGAACTTCTAAATCAAATATAAGAAAATTACCAGAATTATTACTCGTTAACGGAATTGGTGTATTAATTTAAGTTAGAGGAGAGAGATGTGAGGAGATGTGAGAAACTTAACGGGGAGCGAAGGGTATTTATAACCATATAAGGTGCGATATTTGCACCGCGCTATATGTAATTATTCAGATAAAGGTATAGCGCGGACCCTGTCCGCGCTAAATATAATTCATACCCAGATATAGCGCTGAACAGGGGCAGCGTTATACCCCTACGTGGCGTATAGCGCGGATCAGGGGTCGCACTATATCCACATGTAAGCCATGTCAGCGTATAGCGCGGTACAGAGGGCGCGCTATACCCCACGTGACGCTAAATCAGCATATAGCGCGGGACAAAGAGCGTGCTTTACTGCTACAGGTGTTAGATCGGGAAATATAATCTGACCGGTGTTAGATCAATAAATATACCGGTCACCGGTGATTTTTTCGGGAAAAATGCCCCATTGATAATGCCACTGATAAAGCGATGATGTAAATTAAGAAAAAGACTTAAACAATTAATTGACATTTAAATTTTTATTAATTGAATATAATTAACTAGATTTTCATGTGGTGTAATCCTAATAGTATGATTTAATAATAGTAAAAAAATAAATATATATCATGATTTTTAATGACATCAATTTAGATTTACTAATAATACTATAAAAGTAATTAAGTAAATGATCAAATCGCATCAAATTACAGTATAATGGCTAAATATCTAATGTCAACATAGTAGAAGAACTAAAATCAAAATTAGACCTGGTAGCAAGTCATGGAAGGCACTTAATGTCAGATTGGCTTTGCTGCAATTACTAGAAAGTCAACTAGGTGGCATTCCAGCTTCTTCGACGCCATGCTTTAAAGGCGCTCTTTTGAAAGTTTAAAGCTTTGTATGAAGCCCAAAATTTGTACATTGATATATTTTTCAATGGATTATTTGTCAGTTGAGTCCTTCTCCTTTAAGGCTCCACCATCAAACTAATTAATAGTCGCTATCCTAATTGGTTAAGACAACACTCCTATCCACAAGAGCAATATATATAGGGATGGTAAAATGAAAATTGTACCTGACGGTCTACGAACCAATATGATACGTATTTTCTTATAAAATTCGAATTTCATATAAGGTTGGATTGAGTTTTTCTCTTTAGTTTGGTTGTGTCAGATTTAGTTCGAAAGAGTCTACACTATTGGTATCCTATCTATTTGGGAATTCTAATGTTAGTGATAATATTATTAATTAGGTTGCATTAGTGATCTTATCACTTTGGAGTGTGCCCCCCATTAACATGTAAAGAAAAGGTAAATGCTAATGTTATGGGGACTATGATGATCATAATAGTTTCGTTTCAAGATCATGCAATGATTCCCAAAGATATTCACAGATTGGTCAATCGATTTACTTGAACTTTAATCTTCCATTAATCTATGTTTATTGATAAATTAGTCTCTCTTTCTTCTTGTTAGGCCTTTTGTCTTGAGCGACAACACTTTATTGTTCAAACAAGATTCCTATACCAACTTCTTTTATTGTATTTCAAAGTCAATATGCTCCGAGTAATATTTTAATGGTTCCATCAAACCCTCCCACTGTCGTATAGTTTATATTTCTAAGTCTGCATGCGTGGCATGACGGTGCGTTTACTGTCTTTATGCATAAGTGAAGTCATAAGAGGGTGGGAGAAACATATACCCTTCTTCTTCAACTCCAGTTTCATCGTCATCGAATGGCCTTGATAGGAGTTCATGGATCGAGTCGGGGCGCGTACATGCCTCCCTGACCGAGCAAAAGGAAGGAGATTCATCAAGTGCGGTGCTCACTTCTCTCAGTATCTGTCAAAAAGGTATGAAAACTGAACATTTGTCTGCAATTTATGTAAGTTTGATCATCTGTTGATGTCGCTTACTGATTCGTAATCGATTAGTTAATTCGCAACTTTCGGTTGTTTCGTTGAACTTTAGGTCCCGACGTGGATTCGATCGAACTTTCGGCTTATGGTGATGTTCATCATGGGGAAGATTCAGGTGGGGATGTAGAGTTCAATAAGACTAATAGCTGTTATATATCCATGTATTGTACAATTTAAGATAAATAAAGGGAATTTTTCTATACAATAAGTTGATTTGAACGAATTAATTTATAAAATAAATTAAATAACAAATTATTAGAGAAATAAGTCAATATGAACAGAAATCGAGTAGCTAATCCAAGTGTATAAATGAAGTGCCTTGTTGATTGGAAATATCATTATTCTCCAGTGTAATGTCATGAATGCTTGACCTTTTCCTAGTCTTCTTGTGAACCGAGTTCAATCGAATATAATACTTTTGTGCATGACTTGCTACTTGCGCTGGTGTTCTTGAAAACACGACTTTTCTTGATATTGTTTTCCAATCACCTTTCCCGTACCTTTGAAGTCCGACCAGAAATCTCCTGTTCGTATAATACGTATCCAATTAGACAACATTATAAAAGTAGAGGGACTGAAACTAAATTTAATTGAGCAACCTGTGTTCTTCTTCGGTCCAAGGTTCAACTTTTCTTCTCTCGACTACTTTCTCCTTTGCTCTGGATTCACTAACGAACTCACTTCCCACTTTGCTAGTTGATTCTAACTCATTCTGGTAACTCGATAACTCGACTTTTTCTGGCTCGGTTCCGACATCAGTCGTAGTCCATATCTCTGGAGGTTGCGTAACGAGTCCCTCCCACGGGCCGAGTAAATCGAACTCGTCCTTGTAACTCGGCAACTCGACCCTTCCAAACTCAATGTGCATCACATCACGCTCCAAATCCTCGTAACACTTTTTAGCATCAGTCGCCGACATCCCTGGAACTTCGGCAGCAATCTTTCCCCACCGGTCGGAATCGTCTTCGGGAACCACAGCCAAAGCTTGCTCGAACAACTTGTTATGGTACCACGACCAAGCCTTTGATGAAGGCAAATCATTGTTGGTTCGGTTCATGACTGAACTAATATTGCTTAATTAATCAGACACGGAATGAATGAAGTTTAGATATTTTATAGGAAACGAATAAGATTTTGATTTTATTTTGTCTAGTCAGAAACGATTGTACGTAATAATTACGCGACGTCATGTGTATATATAATATCATTATATTTATGGATAAATTAGATATTCATTAATCCAATCATTTAATGTTGATTGAATTTTTCCTTTTCTAGTTATACACTAATAAATGATAATTTAAAAAGTTATGTCATTAATATGGTTTTAAATAAAATAACATATATTTATATGTCATAATTGCATCATATAATTTTTATCATGATTCTTTCTTATCAATTAATCTACAACCGATAATTTCGAAAAATTTAATCTACAATTAACGTTTGTAATATTTTATACAAAACGATTGTGCATGATAATATAAGATTTTGATTTTGTTTTACCCCGTTACGCCACGTCAAATGTATATATACTATATCATTATATGTATGGTTAAATTAGATATTCATTAATCCAATCATTTAATTGATGGTTAAATTTTTACTTTTCTTAATTATACACTAATAAATGATATTTTAGAAAGTTATGTGATTAATATGATTTTAAATAAAGTAACATATATTGATACGTCATAATTGCATCATATAATTTTTTATCATAATTCTTTCTTATCAATTAATATGCAATTAAGATTGAAAAAAAATGTATTAAAAGAATATTACTTTCCAATTGTCTGGCGTATCTTATATAATAATAATTATTATAATGAAATTGATTTTTATTACTATATTTCATAGATAATTTGTTACAAATGCACATTATTGAAAATTTCGATGAGCCCAACGTATCCATCCACTATTTTGTTCTTCTCTACCTCTAATGTTAACATCTTAGCCATTTAACATTACAAATGTCTAGATTTTTCTCATAGATAATTCTAGATATAATATTAAATATTACAAATATCTATATTATTTTATTGATAATTCTACACATCTACTATATATATGACCCTTATATATTTTCTTTAGGATTTGCATTCACTTCTAACACAAAGGACAGCATGCACAGTCATGAACCATGACATATAAAAGTGTTCATGACCATGACATGTCTGTACCCAAGAAGTGACATGGCCATCCAAGTGCTCTTGTTGCCACTGCCTCTATGAACAACTTAAAACCTAAAAGTAAGAAACCGATCGAGGGAAAAGCCGAGTTACATCAACCCGGTGGTCAGTAGTTACAGAAGGTGAGAAGGTCATTGAATCTACTTGAATGCTTCTGAGCATTGTCTTTGAAATCAAGCCGTGCTCAACTTAACCGAGCTTTTTGTTAATATCAGGCATGTCCCTATAAATATCGAATGGTCAGGTTTGATTTTCTTATTTGTAGTTTTTCTTTGATTTTTGATGTATGCGTTTCTGTTGTATCCACTCTCAATCTAGTAGGAACAACGTTATCATAGTTGTGGAAAGTGGAAACAATGGATATTGATTGGCAACCCTTTTCTTGTCATCTTGGTTGGAACCATGTCCCCATTTCTCCTTTTCTTTTTATGAGGCGTTAGCTGGATCTTTTTGTAATACATTCATTAAGGTGCTGGCTTTGACTTAAACTTCAGATTCGTCTGGTTTGATGAGACGAGAATTGAAATTAGCCATTACTAATCCCTCTACAAGGACATTTATAGGGCTTCATGTTTGCAAGAAAAAAAAATCTAGTGGTTTCCATCAGATCTAATCAGGTACAGTTTGGAAGCATTCTAAGCATTTTCAGACAAAGCATCCATCAATACACTGTTATATCAATAACAGAAGCAAGCACAGGGAACCTACATCATTAGTAATATAGAGTACAACAGAAGCATGTCCTTGTGGATGGTGTCCTCCCCCAAGGTCCTAGAGGACACACTAACATTTTGCCACTAACCATTATTGCAATTCATTTAAAGCAAATAGAGTTGTCTGTGTTGGTCTAGCTGTCTCAACGACTTAAAGGGTTGGCACTTACAAACGGTCCACACTCAAACGATCCTGCTTATTAACCGTATGGTCAAGAATCTGCTAGCGACGGATCCGGTGGCGAATCAGGTTTCCTGCTGTCAGCAGCTCTGGATGCCGGGGTTTGGCATGTGAAACATCATCTCTAATTACTACCTTTCTAACTATAGGAGGGGCAAGGAAATTGTACATCATATTTTAAGACTTACATGACAGGCCACATCAACAACACGTCCATAAGTTAAACTTAATTGACTTTAGATCTACAATCTGGAAAATTCAGGATGCATGATTATTAATGAAATTTTATACACAAACCATCTTAGTTACCATCCAAAAGTAAGAGCAGTGAATCAGTCAAAGTGGTAAAACTGATGATCGAATCTGGAGTGCCATCTGCCTGCAGCCAATATCATACTTAGGAGAAACTCAATTCATGGATAGCTATGGATAATTCTGATTCAATCATGTCATCGTTTTTTCCCCTTCGGGCATATCTCTAGTCCCATTTACTTCTTTTCCTTCTGCTGCGTTTATACAGTCCTGGAATCTGAAACGACTCGTGAGATGGTCATTCGTCATTCGTGCCACTTCCATGAAATAGTAGATGACCGTAGGCCCCACACTTCGAAAACCCCTTCTTACCAAATCTTTGCTTATGACATCTGCTTTCGGGGTTTTAACCGGAACCTGTCGAGGATATCTGAATCTGCTAACAATAGGCTTGTGGTTCACAAAACTCCAAATGCACGCGTCCAATGACCCAAACTCATCTATAACCTGGCATCATCAAAACCTGAAAAAAGTTGGTTGCATTTATAATCATAGCCACTATGGATGGTGCAGTTATGGTACTTCCACTTCAGCAAAAGAGGGCTAGCTGGTTCATGATGAACAGTGATGACTTGAGATTTCGCCAGCTAATCAAGTTGGCATCGTGATAGATAGGAATAATTAAATACAAAAAGCTGTCTTAGAATAGTAATATCTTGCACTGTAAACAACTTTGGTAGAGCAAACTCTTGTTACGGTACATCTGATACACATACTCTTATCAGCAAGTGCTGCTTAAAAGTGATTTTGGGTCACTATTTTCATGCTAACCAATGTTAAAAGATGGCATGAATAAGAACAAATCAACAATCTATCTACCTTAGATATTTGGTGTGCATTCTCGACAATAGCACGCAGCTTTAGTTCTGATAACAAGGAACTTGCCATACAACCAGGTGCTATTAACTTCTTCTCATTCAGTTTCGATACAGCAACAGGATTGAAATCCATGAAAATTTCCCTTCATAAAAGGCACTTTAAGAAATGAGTTTGGTTTTTCAATGGAAGTAAGGTTGAACTTCTGCTGGAAAAGTACATAAAGATGTGTCTTTTGCGTAGGATAGCCGGCCATGTAAGTTCAGACAACGCACCCGCAAGTACAAGCAGCTCAAACAATTTCCTACATACGGGGAACAATTTCAAGCAAACCACTCATTCAATGAAATGCTTTTCTATCAGAGAGGTAATCATTTAATCAGTGATAAACAGAAGCAGGCAATATCAAGATCACATACTTGTCATCATGTACCGGAACTCCCCACTCTTCATCATGGAAAGCAACGTAACTCGGATCTGATCCCAATAAACAAAACTAAGTCAACATAAAACATGAAATAGAAGCTATTAAAGCATCAATTAGTGATGACACAAAACTGCAATCAATTGACAGTCTTTCATTATGAATATGATGCTTGAACATATGAATGTATAACCAATTTGCATTTATGTCGTATCATGTACTTGGTCACTGTTTGAAACTTACAGATATGTCAGAAAGATAAGTCCAAGGCAATTTAACCTATAGTTCGATTTAAATCATGAAAATAAGGTTTTTGATAAAGAACAGTAAAGTTTGGCGATCATGACAAGAGAAAAATTGCCACCCTAGTTGGTTCATTTGACAAGATGCCGAACCTTCCTTACACCTATGACTTTATTAATCAAACATAAACAAATGCTACAGCTATGGGATTGAAAAACTTGAACGGTATAAACAATACAGAAGGTGTTCTTAGTGCAGGAATTTTTCTCTATCCAAATGCTTAGAGAGAGCTTCTGCATTTGTTATTAAAATTAAAAGCAATCTAAGGAACAAAATTTTAAACACAAATTTTTAATCAATCATAAAACAGTGAGAAATTAAAGGACACGAACAACAAACCTGTGTTTGGTGTCACCCAAGCACATCTCTTCCTCTGATGTGAACCATTGGATGACGAATCCAAACCACCCTTGGAAACATCACTTCTAGGACTTGACAAGTACGGCTTCCTCCTAGGTCCGACACTATTTGACAGAATAAACCTACGGCTACCACCAGTAGATGCTCGACTGTTAAACGAATCCGTGGAAGCATCGGAGGAACACGAAGCATTTAATGATAAATTAGAATGTAATAACTGTTCGTGGCGGAAAAGGAATGGGATTTTGGGAAAAGAATCAACTTTAGGTGACGGAAGGCCATTTTTCTCCTCTGATAAAGAGGCCTCAGCTGGACTTTTTTCAATCTTTTTTAAAGGCTTTGAAGCTGGTTTTCTTGCAATCAATGAACTTGCCTTGTTCCCTGCAGGTCCCAATACGGGCCTTGCCTTGAAATCGGCCGCATTCATGGACCTCAACCTCGGGGCAGCGGATATATATCAAGTACTCTACCAAAAGAACACTAAATTTCAAGATATCAGCTTTTTGTAAGCCTCAAAGCAAACCTAATTTCCCACTTTATCAGCTCTTTAGTTCACTACAATTCTCAACACTAACTAAACAACACTCAAAGTGACAAAAACCCACCAATGAAATCCAGTAAAATCATCATATTACTCCTAAATACAAAGTTTAAACCACTTCAAACACAATTGCATAGATTTTTTGAACTACCAGTACACACAATCATCAACCTCTCCCTTGAAAAAGCACCCAAAACAGATCTCAGCTTTTCACCATCTTCACCCCAGAAAACTTCCTCAAATTTACAATTCTACCAACCACTCTAAGCTACACTCAAATCCTCAAAAATCCACATTTCATTTGTCCTCCAAGTCTTCAAAGATCAGCTAAAAGACCCTAAAAACCAATACAGAAACCAAAGTTATACAAAAAATATATCACTTTTAAGAAGCAGAAGCTAAAGGTTCAAACTTTAAAAACTAAGAAAAAACAAAAAAGAATTCAAATTTAACCTCGAAAAAACAAAGATTCCATTCTGCATTGTGAAAAATGAGAGAGAAAGAGCTTCTAATTTTGATTACCTTAAAAGAATTTGTAGTATTTTGTTTCCGAATGTGTTTTTTCAGTCACTCGTTTATGAAAAAAGCCGACACATATGCTGCCAATTCCATACTTCCTTGCTCTTTCTTTTTTTCATGAGAAAATGCTGGAAAGTGGCCCAGAAAATTCGATCAGAGACATGAAGATTGAAGAGAAACCAAAAAAAAAAGGTTGTTCGATCTATGAGAATTGGATGCATCTCCCTACATTACTATTATCTATAATTCAGAGATAGCCAAAGCGTGGAAGAGAGAGAAGAGCAAAGATTGGCCTTTTGTTTACACTATTTTCTTTTCAGTGACCTGTTTGTTACCTGCTATTTCCGGTTACTTTTTTGGGACCTTCATCTTACATTTTTTTCTTGAAATTTTTTTGGCTTTTATAAGCTTCATTTCTTACGTTGACATCACAGCCGGTAGGGATTGAGGTTACAGCTCAACCATCAAACTTAATGTTTTTTAAGTGAATTTAAGCACCCAATCTCGAGTTAGATCCTTCTTTACTGGTACGTAGCACGATCCGTTTATGCATAATGAGTATCAATAAATATATTTTTCAGAATTCAACACTTTTTAAGGGAAGCACTAAAGCTTTTATTCAGGTGATGAAATAGTTCCTAATTTATATGAATATAACAAACAACAAGATCTTTTACATGCTACAACATCAATGTGATATTAGCAAATAGCAAGGTTTGGATTTTGTGAAGGTTAGAGAGGACTTAAGGAACAGGCTGAGTCAATTTTCCCCTCTTAAAACAGTAACTGTTTAATTGTATATTTATAGCTTAAAAATGGGGTTCGGTGCACCGAATAACACCTTCAATGGGGTCATGTTTTTGAAGTTTTCTCTTAATGCTTTGATCCTGTTTAATTAGCTTAATATTGAATTATACAAATTGACTTAAGGAACCATCCATGACCATGGTCCTTAGTCTAAAAAACCCAGTTCTTTTTGGTCCTGTTTGCAAATACATTTGCAATGAAAAACAATTGTTATTAATTGTGTACCTATCTCAAGGCACCCACTGGCCCAGGCACGGGCAGGGAACTCCTTTCCTTAATTGAGCCCTTCATTGACAGCTTTCTCTGGCTCTGCTTAAACCGATTTGGCTGAACAAAAACAGGAGTTTTCAGCCAACAAATCAAATAGAAAACGAAAAGCTTACTAAAAAAGTCTTTGAAAAGCTAGTAGGATTTCCATGTTTCAAAAAAGAAAACTAGTACTAAGACAACATAGATGAATACCAAACCTTATAGAATTTGAAACATTTTTTTTAGACCCCTGGCCTTAGGTAAGCCATAAGGGCTCCAACTAAGTCCGGAGTTGTGTTGGGTCGGATTCTATTTCACGAGACAAACTCTCATAAAACTGTTTTTTCATCCACAAGACTTGAACTAGATACTTTTTTTAAGGTACATCAAACTCATTGACACTTCATAGAATTTGTAACGTAGTTACCTGTTAAGTAGATTCACATGTGCGTGTGTGAAAGTGGGAGTCATCATCCGAGAAACATGGGGTCCAATTCTTTTTGGAATTCATCTCAACTTTTCTATTTTATTCAAATTGGTCCTTTATCCTTTAACTTCCATTCAAGCTTCAATTAACATAATTAACACCATATGAGTGATATTTAATTCGTACTTATACTATTGTGTAGACATTGGCTTGCGATGAGTCAGTGATGGAGTTACTATGGTGAGAAGTGACTCCTAATGTTTTGTGATTTTGTGATTCATGCATATGTGTTTATTTGGTGATCTAATATTAATTAGTGAATAAGCTAAAAATGCAAATTAGTGAAATTTACCTAGATTTATAATGTGAACAATAAGTTTAGAAAATCACCATAAATTATATAGAAATGATTAGAATATGATTGTAATACTGTTGGATTTGTATACATGTCTAGTTTTGTGTAAAATAAACAAATACTGATTTCAATGAGTATGCAAAAAGATATGAATTTTTAATCGATTATAGGTCAAAAAATATGGCAGCAGACCTGCTCGAAACAACTTCTGTAAGTTAGATTTGAAAATTCACTATAAATTGTACAAATTGAACTTGTTGGAACGGTCCTTAAGCTCAGGAATCCAACCTCAGCTAAATACGGTCAGACATGATTCATCATCTCTAACTTAGCGTTACGAATAATTGCATCTAATATACGGTCATTCCCCTAATTAAATAAATAGTATACAAATTAAAATATAAACTAATACTAAAAATATAAATAAATAAAACATTCACAATAATTAACATAACACAATTTAAAATTGTTACCGTATCGGTAAAATGACTCGAGATATGATTCTTATCGAAACGCAGCAACCCGCCTTCCATTTTATAACTGCAAAACATAAAAAAATTAACACAGTAAAATATAATAAAATAATAAACTATTTAATAATTATAATATAGTAAAAATAATTTTACCTTCTAAAAACAATAACAGAACCCACTTGAAGCTTCTTAGAATGAATGATAAAAGTAAGAAGGAGAGTGTTTTTTGGGAGGAGTAGGTGGTAATTAAAGGCGAGCGACGGACGGTTGAAGTATTTATGGAAGGCACAGATGGTGATCCACGCCTTCCGCCGTGCGTCAATTTTACACAAAGGTACGGATGGTGATCAGCGTGGCGTCAGCTCGGACGAAAACTCAGGGAAGGCGAGTTTGGTGATTCGCGCCTTCCGTCCATGTCAGCAAATAGGTGTTAGATCAGAAAAATCTGGTCAATGGATGTCTGACAGATAATTATTGATTCTTTGGGTGCTTTTTGGGTAAAAACGCCGTTGTGGGATTCCGATGACCGTCGAATAACGATATTAGTGCATGGTAGCTTCATCGGACGGTGAAGGGCCTCTAGAATCTTCTGGAACGGTGGCGTTGGGCTCTTCACTAGGGTTTGTGTAACCCTAAATTTCATTGCTGATGTGGAACGTTGGATGAGTCCAAATTTGATGGATGGTAGCTTGCACCTGGCAAGGCAGTATGATAAAAACCCTAAAATGCTTGGTTGAATATGAACCGTCAGATTCTCTTCATATCCGGAGCTGAGAAAGGTTTCATCAAAACCCTAACAGTCTTGGGTAACATATGGGCCATTGTCTCCTTTATCTTTACATTTGGGTCATTTGGGCTTCAGTTGTGTATAATTTGGGTTTACGTTCTTGTAACCTGGTCCTCTTTTGTACTAAATCTGCAAACAGAATCAATAAAAACTAGTTAAGCATATTTAGTCATTATATTTATTTATTAATAATCATTAATATACATATATGCTTATGCCTAATATATATACAAGTAAGCATACACATAATAACCATACACGCATATATATCACATATTCACACACATATAATATATAAATTCACACACATGATATATATTTAAATAATATGCTAACCTAATACGTGGCATACAAATAATATATTAGTACCGTCATCAATAAAATCAAAATTAAGAAAGTAATAATATATATACATGTATAAACTCGATCAAAAACACCGAACGAAAATGAGTATCTACAGAACTAGAATGAGTGCCTTGTATGGTTACATTCGAATTCGAGTCTAGTTTCCCACGGTATAAACGAATAATTTTTAAGTGTGTAGAATAATATATAATAGTACTTCTTCGAGGGTAGCATAAACTTCCGGCAAATAAAGTTTGTCATAAATTATGTTTTTATGCTACTCTTATGTTATATGTTACCTTAAATGTTTGAAACGAGCCAATTCTATTATTTTGGCATGATAATTGTGATAATGATCATATGATGAAATATGATGTTCATATGTAAGGAAAGTGATAAGTGATGTTTCCTTAATATATTCATGTTATGTGAAAATAGAATATTTAGGGTATGAACTGTTCAATACACTTTTATATGATATTTTGATATGTTAGTCTGTGACTATTAACTTGTGGTTGTTTATTTCATTCAAGATATTACATTTGATTCTATTTTGAAATCTGGGTTATTATGCTTTTGAGGATTTGTTGATTATGGTGACTTGAAGAAACGATTTTTTTCTGGTATATGTGTATTAATCTGTTAGTTTCATGTCTCTTTGGACTGTTGGGATTATTCAGTTTCAAAGATTGGTGTCTTATGGATGAGAGGATATCAGAGCATGTTATTTCAGTTTCAAAGCAATCTCCAAAGGCCAATACCATTACGAGAAACTGTTCTTTCCAAGCTTAAAGCTGAGCGAGACCCCGATAAGTTGTCCACTTTATCCAAGGAGAATGCCCACTGGTATAAGTATTCCCCTCTGCACATGATAAATTGCCTGAACAATATTCTAAGTTTAATATACTGGTTTGGTTCGGGTCAGATCGGATTCGAGTTTGGTTCAGGTCAATGCAAAATTCAGTTCGAGTCGAGTATTGGGTCGGCTCAAATCGGGTCGATTGGTTTTCGAGTCGGGTCAAAATCAAATCGGTTGTTGTTTGGGTCGGGTTAACTCAGATCAGTTGGTTTTGAGTCAGGTCAATATCGAATCAATTGGTTTCGGTTCGGGTCAATTCTGGTTGGTTTCGGTTCGAATCAACCTTTAGATTTTCGGATCAATTCGGGTTGGTTTTGATTCAAATCAACCTTTAGATTTTCGAGCTAATTCGGGTTGTTTTTGTTTAGGTAAACCGTCTTCACACTTTGTAGTCTTAATCATCGATGCTACTTTTTATAACTTGTAATTTAGAAAATTTATGTGACTATATATTATCACATCCTAAATTCAAGGCTAAAATTTTTAGTTTAAATGAATTAAATCAAATTAGAATATTTCAAAGTATAAAAATAAATTTATAAACCATAATAAGTTTTAGGATTGATTTAGAAGTTATTGGATATAGAGATGGTCTTTTAACAGAGTAAAGATTATATTGAACTATTAAACTATTACTAAATGTGGTGATGAACTAATTGTACAATATAAAATGAGAATAAAAATATATCAGTCTACTATTTATCTAATTACTAAAAATAGATAATAATAATAATAATAATAATAATGATAATAATAATAATAAATTATTTGTTCACTTATACTCAATTATCGGATTAAAATCGGAGTGAAGTTTGGTTCGGATTGAGTATGAGTAAATTAAATTTGAGTTGCTTTCGGTTCGGGTTATTTTCGGCTTGAATTTTTTTTGTTCGGGTTGATTTTAGTTCGGGTTGCTTTCGGTTCGGTTATTTTTCAGTTTGGGTTACTTTCGGTTCGAGTTAATTTCGTTTAAACTATAATTGATAGTCGATTTCGGTTCGATTCGGTTTATTTAAGTTTCAGATCAATTTTAAGTTATCA